CATATTACAACTGTTACACATGCTGATGTAACGAAAACATTTCCAACTTGGGATCAATAAAGTATATCTTATCTTAAGATGATCGATGGCTACTACCATATTTGCAAAATGTGGGAGGGGACCCTTTCGAATCCAGTTTTGGATAGTCTGCCGTGGTTCCATCCCATTTCAAAGTGCTGTTTGACGCTCGGTGTAACCCTCGGCGCACTGCCACTCAAACATCCATTGAGGACTAATCACGGGTTTTGTAATACATACGTCCAGGGAGCTCTATAGAAGTCTATGGACATCCCCGCAAGTTGAAATTCAACGCTAAAGGACCCCCCCTTGCGTTGGAAAGTGACGACAGCGACCCTGACATAACGTCAACATAGGTCGAGTTGGGAGTGAGAATGTGTTGATTTGGCTGCTCCAAGACCCCCAAAGGACGGACTAAAGACCTCCAGCATGTGTCCCTAACATGTGCACTTCCATAACCTTGCACACCGTGAGTGCCCGGGTACCCGCACTTAAGCACTCCCCCACAGACTAAACCCAGATATTCACACCCGCCAGAACCTCATGCCCCTGGTAATTCTAAAAGGGGGTTGGATTTTGTGGTGCTTTGATGCCCGCCCCTCAGCATCCAAATTCGGCCCTCTTATTGGCACCACCACCACACATCCATAACCTTGCGACCCATGAGTGCCCGGGAACCCGCACTTAAGCAGTCCCCCAGTACGTAATTCAATTGCATACAAAAAGTGAATGTTTAAATTGTTGTTTTCTTTCATAAGGTAATTGTACTTACTGGAACCAGTTCATTATGATTAGTAAATTAAAAATATATATGCTAATGAACTCTCTTGTTACTCATTTAGCTCTAGATTTCGAACCAACCTTTTTTTTATTTCAAAGAAAAAGATTAGTGTATAATTAACTGTGGATATTTATGGCCACAACCTTTAATGCTGAACATTTGTTGGACCACTTTACAGATCTTCTGTAAGCAAAGATGTTTTTAAGATAGCTTTATTGTTACCCATTCAAAAAGAAAAGACAAGTGAAGTCACAGATTTTAAAACGCTATTCTCGACCCTAAGTTCAAAACAGAAAGAGTCACATCTGTTTAAAATCTGAGTTGTCATTTTTTTTTTTTTGTCGGAGACCTTTATGATTTCTTTATCACAGGTTGAGGAGTTTGGTGGTGTGGAAGAGGAAGTTCAAGAAGTCAGCAAACCATGTCCAACACCAACAGGTATGTATTTTTATTGTATACTACACTGAAGATCTCATTCAGAAATAGACAGACTACAGTGAAACCCACACAATAAACATTAGTACATACAGTCTGAATACTGGCACCTGGTTAATAATTACATTTAAATTGATTGTTGGCCACTAGGGGGCAGAAAACCTGACAGATCTGTAGAGTCATTAGCTTTTAAAGTACTTGTGGCTAACATGTTAGCAAAAAGCTGCCATCAGACACATAGCGATGTGATTATCCTATTGAAGATGTGTGTGTTGATTTTGGAAAAAACTGATTATAGGTGTATCTGTAAGATTAGTGAGAGCCAAAAGGACTCAATCACACAGTTATTTGATGTCAAACCACAACAAGCTAAACACTGCGTAGAGTTGTAGGGGATCATTATCTGTGTGTTCAGCACTATGACATTACAGTCCATTGAATTAAATGTACATTTTAAATATATAACTTAATGGATTGATATAATGTACTTTTTGTACCATAAATAAACAATACACTGTCACTGACTGATTCTACAGTCCAATTATCTAAACAATATTTTGTCTTCAACTTTCTCACCCCTAAAAACATGCACATATCAGCTACCACAATAAAATCACTCATAATGTAGAATAAAAGAAACATGAATAAGGGAACTCGAAAAAAGTAATAGGTTATATATAGTATTAACATGAAATATAGCTCCTTCTGTTAACATATCAACCATTTCTCAAACCAGCATTTTCTTTCCTTTTCCCTGTTTATCCCTGCCTTTACTTCAGTCTTTAAATCCATATTAACTTTGTCATTGTTTTGTATATTTCTTTCAATATTTTGCCATCTTTTTTCCCCTTGCAGCTAATAGACGGGCCACTGGTACACTGTGTGTATATTGGTGTGTGTGAATGGGCATCTCATTTGTATCTTCCGGGTGTACAGTACATGCTGATTTGGAGCCAGTTTGGCATGATTTGGTTATAAATAACCACAATTATTTCATTTAAAAATGTAGATTTCTATTTATAAATATTATTTTAAATGCATAATAGGTCTACCCAACCTGGGAAGAACTTCATGTAATAATTCAAACGTAGCTTACAAATTATGCCTTCCCTTTACATACTCACTAGCCTCTACACTTCCTATTTTAACCTATTTTAACAATGCTTTACTGTGGAGAAATATAGAAACATATTGACGTGATTTCATTATAGTAGATCCAGTGACATCTCCAGCTCAGACAGATTAAAACACAGCAAGCAAACGTCACACAAACACCGGAAACACACTGATGGAGTTTGAAGAGCTTCATTCGATGATCTGCAGAAACACAGACAGCAGATTAGAAACACTGAATTTAAACTCTAGAGAAACAAAACACCAATTACCGTTTAGGGTTGTTTCACTCACCATGGCCACTTTGGTGCTCTGTTCTCGAGTTCGGATCCGCAGTTTGTTGACGGTCGTCTCCGCCATGTCAGCTCTCTCCTCTGCGTCGTCCAGCTCGTTTTGAACCTTCCTGAAACGCATCGTGCTGGAGCCCACCTGCTCCTCCTGGTGGACAAACAGAAGAACAGCGGCGTGATTACACTTGAAACTTGTAATAACCTTTTTGGCCACTGGAGGGCAGCACAGTGAAAACACAACATTGAAATATCACCTTTTTAAACTGAAACGATAAATGTGTTAGTTGCTTGTGGTATTTATTTCAGCAGAGTAACTTCATAAGAGTCTTTTGTTTGTGTCCACCTGATTGATGTAAGTGCAGTATTCCCTCCATTTTTAGCTCTGTTTTTGGTCTCCACCAGTCTTTTACGTTGTTAAAGGCTCCACTATTTTCACCAGACGGTCTGTAAATGTGTCTCTCTTGTTTGCTGTCAAAACATTAAAGCATATGGTTTTTGCACAGCTTTTTGTTGTAAATCACCCTTTGAAAGCTTTGGGAGTTAACCCGAGCAGTACATTTCGGGCTGATAAATAACAAAATGTGCATTGCTGAAAATTCAGCTGGCATTCGATGAAGTTCGAGCGACCCCTTCCACGTTGGCATTTAATGCATTTTTTGAAAGGAAATTCTAGCCCTGTAATAATCAAACTGTTTTTCTGACCTGTATAATCTCACTTTTACTGCAGAAATATAAGACTTTTAAAGACTCACAGCGTTGTCTGCTTGTCTCTTGTAGCTCTTGACTTTGGTCTGAAGCTTATCGATGAGCTCCTGCATCCTCAGCAGAGTCTTCCTATCCTCCTCGGACTGCAAAGAGAAAAAAGTTACACCGCAGAACATAGAACCAGCAGAACATCTGTGTACTGATAACCTGTGATGTTTTCAGACCTGGTACGTCAGCTCTTTGACTTTCTTCTCGAAGCGACGCACTCCTTTCTGATACTCCTCGCTCTTCTTCTGCTCCATCAGCAGCTCCGTCTGCAGATCCCTCACCTGCACACACAGATACACCTTTTAATGATCTCAGGTGTCATTTGCACTGCTTTGTCTTTTTTAAGCCAATTTTCTTTCTATTGGCAACTTTCTACTGAAGCTATATACCTCCACAACATTGACATTAAATCATAAATCCAAGCAAGCACTTCTCAACTTTCATGTCATTAGCTGTAGTAGAAGTAAGCCCATCGACAAAATGAAACGTTAGACAGTAAAAATACAGGGTTTAAATCCTCAATATCAATACATTACTCAAAAGAAACACAGTGCTGGCTCAAACACTGCTTTCTGGAAAGATATGGCATATCCAATTTCCATCCCAGGGTTCTTGTCAACGTTATATTTTGGGAATAACCACTCACTCTTGTCTCCAGTTTATGAAGCTGTTTCTTTCCTCCCTTCAGCGCCATCTGCTCCGTCTCCTCCAGTTTGACCTGCAGCTCTGTAAGAGAGACACTGTTAGAATCAACCTGCAGCCAACAAATAATACTGCCTCAGGAACATCAGGTAAACTCTTTAAATGACCACCATCATGTGCTTTGTATCGTACCTTTCACAGTGGACACCATGTTCCTCTTAATTCTCTCAATCATATTGCTGCTGTCCTGCTCCTTCTTCAGCTCTTCCGCCATCAGCGCCGCCTGGTGAAACACATATACACATTATTAAATTACCTATCCTTAAATACTTTCATCTATCAAGGAGAACAGAAAAGAAGAAAAGAGGACCACAGAAAAGATTGGAAACACCACAACACAATAACTCATGGTTACTGTGCAGTCCAACTCCCATACTACCCAACTAATTCATATGGCAGGAAGATGTTTACTGACAAAAGTAGGGAACCAAAAGTACCAGGATGTCCTTCAGCATCATCCGGTCACAGTTTGCTTTGATATGAGCAAGTGTGCAGTGTGTAAAAGCTTAAGGTGCAATGATGGACACAATACTATGCCCTAACAACTGAGTATAAATCTTCCAGTGTGTACTTTGTAAGGGTTGGTGCAGTACACTTTAACAGTAAAAAGTAGAAGTATGGTATGGTAGGCATCGTAAGTTGAGGTTTTGTCAGAGGATAGGGGTCAGAGGTCAGGACTGACATCAGTGATGGCCTTCTTGGCTTTCTCCTCGGCGCTGCGGCTCTCCTGCATGGCCTCGTCCACTTCCTCTGTCAGCAGATTCAGATCGGACTCCAGCTTCTTCTTATGGTTCATCAGACCTGTGTTCTGGAATATAGAAAAACAGCCAGAAAGTCAGTCAGGTTATTAATGTATCATCACATCACATCATCACCAGTGGGTGCTGTGGTGGAAATTCTACACTTAATCACCTTCTGGTAAGAAAAGATCAAATATACAAGCTTAAACCAAAGTCGTGTTATTTATTAAAAAATTATAGCATTTAACAGAATCTATCTTATTTCCAGCTGGAAGGACAGATAACCTGCACCATGTGTGCTAAAGAAATCTGACTACGTTACATTACATGTCACTTGTTAGACGCTTTTATCCAAAGCGACTTACATACTCAATACTGTGGGCAATCCCCACAGGAGCAATTTGGGGTGAAGTGTCTCAGGGACACAACAACATGCTGACTGCAGTGGGGTTTGAACCTGTGACGCCCTGATCCGAACACAGCACTACACGCCTCACGTTACACAGAAAAGCAATGTCATTTATACAGAGGAGCAGGAAACAAAAAGGACATAAGACAGGTAACGTCCGTATGATCATTTGCCTGACAACGGTCCAGTGGCACCCTCCTGTCTGTTCTGCAAGAGGACAGAAGGTTGCCAGTCTTTCGTATTAAAGGTGTGATAAAGCCTGGGAGTGACAGCCCTAGTTTACATTAGGACTGATACATTCAAACTGCGGGAAAATCAAACCAGAGAAGGAAGTTATACTGAAATGTATGTGTGTGTGTGTGTGTGTGTGTGTGTGTGTGTGTGTGTGTGTGTGTGTGTGTGTGTGTGTGAGAGAGAGAGA